CCAGCATCTGCAGTTCCTACTATCTCTGGCCTACTTCTGATTCGTATTTTCATATGTAATCTGAATCAAGCTGAGGTATTGTTTCATGAGTGCCAACAACTCTCTATTACCGCATCTGACTAGTTATTTTTAATGTGTGAAGATGGCAGGAATTAAGCTAACTGACCTGTAGTTTCTTGCTTTTTGTCTCCTTTTATTTTTGAATAAAAGAGTTAGTTTCACTATCTTCCAATCTAATGAGACCATCTCTGAATCAAAGGGGTTTTGCAAAATCAATGCCAATACATCTACTATATCACTAGCTACTTTATTTAAGATTCTAAGATGGAGTCCATCAGCAACTAGACACTTGTCAGTGCAGCTCCAACAATTTATTCAGTATCACTTCTTTGTGATTGTGATTTTCCTGAGTTCCTCTTTCCTTTCCATTTCCTGATTTATTGCATCTTCTGGGATCATAGAATCCCTACAGTGTGGAAACTGGCCCTTCAGCCCAACAAGTCCACACCGAACCTCAGAGCATCCCACCCAGACCCATCCCCCTACAAACCTACCTAATCTACACACCCCTGAAAACTATGGGCAATTTAGCATGGCCCATCCACTTAGCCTGCACATCTTTGGACTGTGGGAGGAAATCCATGTAGACACAGGGAGAATGTGCAAACTCCACACAGACAGTCACCTGAGGGTAGAATCAAACCCAGGTCCCTGGCACTGTGAGGCAGCAGTGCTAACCACTGTGCCACTGTGCCACCCCAAATGTTACTTGTGTCCTATATACTGAAGATAAATGCAAAATACCTGTTCGTTTCATCTGTTTCTTTATTTTTCATTATTAATTCTACAGTTTTGCTTTCTGTAGGATGAATACTCAGTTTTTGTTTTCACCTTTTTAAATATTTATAGAAACACTTCTTACCTGTTTTTATATTTCTGGATAACTTGCATTCATGCTCTAATTTTTCCCCTTTTTAATTTTTATTTTGGTGATTCTTTCATTTTTTTAAATATTCTGTTCTATCTTCTGTCCTGCCAGCTGACTTTGCACAATGATATGCTTTTTCTTTAAGATTAATAATTTCTTTAACATTTCTAGTTAACCATAGATCATAGGTCTGTCCCTTAGAATTTTTCTTACTGTTTGGAATCTATCTATTCTGTTTATTTGGAAATACCCTTTAAGTGTCTGCACTGCATCTCTATTGGCCTGTCCTTAATTCATTTTAGCCAGTCTGCTTTCATTCATCATAGTTACTCTTATTTAAATTTTTAAAAATAGTCTTGGACCCACTCCTCTCTCCCTCAAACCGAATGTAAAATTCAGCCATATGATAGTCATTGCTACCAAGGGTCGCCTTCACTGTGAGATCTTAATGCATCATATCTCATTGCTCAATATCAGTTCTGGTTTGTTCAACCCTTCCTCATAAGAGAACCTGCCCATTCCAGGTATTAGTCTAGCAAACGTGCTCCGACCTACTTCCAACACATTTATATCCTTCCTTAAATATGGAGACCAATACTGTGTTCAGTACTCTAGATGAGGTCTCACCAATGCCCTGTGTAACTGAAGCATAACCTCCCTACTTATATATTCTATTCTCCTTGCGATAGTTTGCTCTCTGGTCGGCTCCGTAACATGCCGTTTCAAGAAACTATCCTGAAAACATTCTATGAAATCTTACTCTAGGATACCTTTGCCCGTTTGTTTTTCCCTGGCAATATGTAGATTAAAATATCCCATGATTATCACCAAAGAGAAAATGGGGAAACTGCGGAGGAAAATTGATTCAAATGTTATACTGAATTAAAAAGAAATCCTTTTCAAATTTTCAGCAATACTGAGCTGTGGAATGGCTCCAACAGCAAGTGGATCACAAGTGACAGCTGCGATTCTGAGTCTGGGATACAACACCGGTATCTCGCCAGAGAGACAGAAAGGCTGACCCACCAGAAACTCCGGTATAAACTCTTCACATCGAACACAGCCCTGCACCCCTTCAACACTCTTGTTTTCTGAACTTTTCTCCATATTCCGGCAAGATTGTCCATATTCCCAATCCTGACAACACTCTCCACATTCCTCACCTCTGCAACATTCCTGCATTTCCTACGATCCTGATCCTGAAAACATCCTGCACACTTCTAATCACAGCAACATACCCTAAACTCCCGATCCGAACAATATTCTCATGCTCCCAATCGCAATAATGCCCCCCACTAACAATCCACAATAGCATTCTTCGTACTCCTGATCCTAACGACATTCCCTAAATCCTTCTTCCCAACTAAATTCATCACATTCCCTATCCAAACAAAATTCCCACATTCCTGATCACAACAATATTCATCACTTTGCTCTTCCCAATTGTGTTCACTACATTTTCTGGTTATAACAACATTTCCCACATTCCTGTTCCTGATCCTGACAACATATCCCACGTTCCTGTTCCTGATCCTGACAACATATCCCATCCACCTTATCCTGGCAAAAACTCCCACACTCTTTACAAAAACAGAAATTGCTGGAAATGCTCAGCGGGTCTGGCAGCATCTGTGAAGAAAAATCAGAGTTAACGTTTAGAGTCCGATGACCCTTCCTCAGAACTGCTCTGAGGAAGGGTCACCGGACCCAAAACATTAACTCTGAGTTTTCTTCACAGATGCTGCCAGACCTGCTGAGCTTTTCCACCAATTTCTGTTTCTGTTCCTGATTTACAGCATCTGCAGTTCTTTTAGTTTTTACTTAGTATCCCACACTCTTTATCCTGACAAGATTGCTACATTATCAATCTGAACAACAACATTCACATTCCCTAACCTGATTGCATTCCCCACCCTGTTCTCCTGATTGTATTCCCACACTGACTTCTGACTACATTCCCCAAACTCCAAATCCTAACCATATTCCTTTATCCCTGATATTATTACTGCCAATATACTGGGGCACTATCTTTCTATCTTCTGTGTGAGGCCCTCTTGCTGTACCACCTTTTGAGCCCCCTGCTGTACATGCAATATTTTTCACGATCTTTGTGACAAGATCAGTCGCACACTCCGGACTCTCAGAAAATATTTTCTTTATTCTTCCTTCCTCAGGCCTCCCTCATCCTCCGAGGAAAAAGGTAATTCTTCTGTTGATCTGCTCATAATAATCCCGCAGTTTCCTGATTATCGGCTGCAGTCTTGGCAATCCCAACGATTTCCCTGAGCTCTCCATGACCACTGCCTTTGGAACTTGAGTGTGTGTCTGTCTTCCCTGAACTCCTCAGGATCAGACCCTTGCTAAGAATTGTTATGGACCAGATCAAACCCTCAAAATATATCAAGGAGATAGCCTAGAACCTAAATTTTATCTTATTTAAAGGTAAGTGTAAGGCACTGTGTTTAAGATGTGATCGATTGGTCCACTACTAGGCTCTAAGTAAAACACACTTTATTCTTACAACACAATTAAAATACAATTTAATAAAAAGAGTTGGCATAACTTCAATTCTGTTGAAATACTTAACAAAAGAATATATTATTTAACTACTATCCATCAGCTATTCCAATGTAGCAGCATCCATAAACACACCCTTGGCAAAAGCAAATTCATCAAAACAGATTTTCTCATATGCCATCTGCATTCCAGGAGAAGACAACACTGAAAGAAACAATCTAGCAATAGGAAAAGAACTCAAACTTTTAGCTGCAGCAGGCACAGCTGTGTCTGGCAGCTTCAACTCCAGAAAACTCACTTCAACTCAAAGCAAAACTAAAACCTGAGTCTGTATGAGCCTGACCCCACCAACTCTTGCTTCTTTTATCTAATTTTTTTTAAAAAATCACTCAGGCAGCACAAAGCTGTTTACCCACTGCTTTTGAAGCAGGCATTCCGGCGCCACTGGCGCTGCCTTTCTGCAAGAGAAATAGCACAGAACAAATCCCTCTTAAATGAACAGTTCTGTCACAGAATGGTCCAATCCTCAGTTTGACATGAGCAGCATGGTTCCCTTAAACATCCCAACGCAGAGGTGTTGTGAATTGACAGGAAGATGAGTTTTGTTTGGTGGGTTGGGAATTGTAAACTGGCTAGACAGCAGCAGCAAACATTTCTGTTAAAACTTCATTAATTTCAGTCCCCAGTTCGTTTGAAACTTGAGCGCAAGTTATCTGCAGCATAACAAAAGAGATTTCCCTGGAGGAGGTGCAAAACAGGTTCACCATGATGTTGACTGGACTGGGGTGATTCAGCTATGAAGAGAGGCTGGATAGGTTTGAGTTGTTTTCTTTAGAACAAAGAAGCCTAAGGGTGGACCTTACTGAGATATATAAGATTACAAGGGGCATGGACAAGGTGGCCAGGAAGCAGCTGTTCCCCTTTGTTGAATGGTCAATAATGAGGGTGTATAATTTTAAAGTGAAGGGAAGGAGGTTTAGAGGGGTTTTGAAGAGAATGTTTTTCATCCAGAGGGTGATTGGTATCTGGAATGCACTGGTTGAGAGTGTGGTTGTGGTGAGAAACTCACAACCTTTGGTAAATATATGGATGAACACTTGAAATGTCATAACATTCTAGGCCAAGTGCTTGAAAGTCGGATTATTATAGATAGGTTGACAAAGACTCAATGAGTTGAAGGGCCTCTTTTGTTCTATGAGCCTGGCATATCTAGAACATAAACTTCTGCCCAATTTAAAATCCAATCCTTTCATTTTCTTTATAGACCAGCTCCTCTCCCCATCATTAAGATCCAATGTCTGCCTTAAGCAACATGCTGACCTTTTCCTAAATATTGACATGGTCACAAATGATTTTTGATGGAGAATAATCATTTTTTCATTCATTCCTGGGACAGGAGTATCTCAGGCAAGGCGACCATTTGTTGACTTTCAATATTCCTTAAATTTGTAGGTGAGCTGTTTTCTTGAACTGCTACAGCCTTTGAGGTATGTGTACACCCTCAATGCTGTTAGGCAGGGAGTCCTAAGATTTTGACCCAGTGACCGTGAAGGAATGATGATGTAATTCAGGGTGGTGTATGGTTTGGAGGAGAACTTGCAGTTGGTGGTGTTCCCTTGCATCTGCTGCCCTTGTCCTTCTAGTAGTTTCAGGTTTGAGGCATGCCGTCCAAGAAGCCCTGACAATGTGCTGCAGCACATCTTGTAGATGGTTTACACTGCTCTCACAGACAGATGTGACAGCCCTCAGGAGCCTATCGTAATAATTATTAAACGTGAAGCTGCCAATCCCAGAGGGCAACTGCCAATCCAAAATTGACACAGTGGGTAGCTCATTCCTCCTGTTGCTTAAACTGCCTGTAAAGCACTGTCACAGCAGCTAGGCTCCTTAATCAGCAAGCTAATTATTAAACTCTATTTAATGTCAGTGTTTAATTGCGTATTATTTACATATTGCAGTTTCCTGTCACTAAAAAGCATTTTGCAATGTATTAGCAGTTTAAGCACATTTAGAATTACATTTCTGTTTTCTGTATATTATTGTTAAACAGTTGTAGCTATCTCTCTCTCTCAACTTCCATTTACTGTCCTGAAGCCTAGTTCTGCTTCTCTTTCTAATTCACCCAAGTTTACTGCCTACTGGCCTTCTTCTATAAATGAACAATCTTCCTATTTATACTGTTCTCTATCTCTCCCTAATGCACCAAGTTCCTTTCCCAAATATTTACCATCATCTATGTGGAGGAAAATACAGAGACAACAGAGTTCTAACATTGAAGAATTTCATACAGCATCATTTTTAATTCACTATCTTTGTTTGTAACCAGCAGTTTAATGGATATTATGAACCTTCATTGGATAGGCAGGTATTTTAAGCAGCTGTCAGACACTGCATTATGATGAATGTGTTATTCCTCGTTTTTCTTTCAGAACTTCTTCATTCAGTCTTAGAGGGTGATCTGCAAAAGGTAATGAAACAGATAGGGATTTTGGGCAAATTTTATATATTTTTTAATTGTTCATTCATAAGATGTGGGCATCAACAGCTCTGCCAGCATTTATTGCCCATCCCTTATTGCCCTTGAACATAGTGGCTTACAAGGCCATTTCAGAAGGCATTAAAAGTCAACTACTTTGTTGTAGGTGTGGAGACATGTTTAGGCCAGACCAGGTAAGAACAGCAGATTTCCATCCCAATAGGACATTAGTGAACTAGATTGATATTTATGATATTGGCAGAGTTTACATGGTTGCTGTTAAACAACATTTTTTGCTTCCAGATTTTTTTTTATTGAATTCAGATTTCTCCATCTGCCATGGTGAGATTTGAGCCCATGACCCAGAACATCACTAGATTACTAATCAAGTGACATGACTACTACACCTTAGCCTCCCTTGTGACGGAAGCATAACTGGGCACAATAGCCTAATGGACATGCACTTCGGCTTGACATTCACCATTAATGGCTGGGATTGCCAACTTTTATCCAGCAAATGCAGTGGTCATAGTTGTGTTTGTTCACCACAATCATGAGAGAATGTACAAACTGTTTAAGGTTTTCTCTGATCTCTATGTGGCCCTATTGAACCTGCCTAAAGCAGTCAGCAGTAACGGAATGATGAATGGAGCAGAAGATGGCTGTTGGAACATTTTTTTAATTTGATTTTGAACACACTGGGAAGGCTGCAAAGCATTTTAAATCCTAGTTGCTCAAGGACAGTATTAGTCCACCATATAGTGTGGGACTAGTCACATATAACTGATCAGGCCTGTAAGATCTGGTCCAGAAGTCACAGACTAACCCAAAAAGAATGTTAAAGTGTCCTAAGTGACCTTAGACCAGTTTATTGAGAAGCAACACTTTAAATCTGACCCACAATCTAAATAAGCAGAAAAGACACATGACCTTCCATATGAATGTGACAGAAGGAATGCTCTGGTAGTTAAACCTTATTTTTCCACCATGAGTATAAATGTATTGATTTAGTCACCAAAATGGCCAATCATTTTCCTTATTGTACTTACTGTACTTCCTTTATTGTACTACCATCCAGAATACAAGAGACTTCTGCCAGGCTTCTTTTAATGAACTCCAAATAATCCATTTATTGTAATACAAATTTTATTCTTGAAACAAATGGAAAACATGAGTTAACATCAAACCTATAATCCAGAATTAGAACTATATTGTCTCAATTCCAAACACAGACAAACTCTCATGATAAATTCTTTACAGAGATGATTTTTTTTTTAAGAAAAGGAAAACATGCCTATCAGCCTGGAGTCTGAAAAAAGGATAGAATTTGATGACTTCTCACTGTTCACCAGATTTCTTGTCAATGAAATCGAATTGCTGTAGCTGTAATTGAAGAAGGATCTTCAATTCAGATTGAGGTCAAGCTGGATCGTAGTCTCTGTAATGTGGCTTCAGTTCAGCTTTTCAAGGTTTACTTGGAAACTTTATCAGTTTCCCAGAATTCCTACAGAGATAAGATGAGTAAGACTGGCACCTTCCAAGATTTCTTCCTCGTGACCATTTAAGAGTTTGGAAACTACAGCTAGGCAACCAGTAGCACAGAGCTTCCACAGTCTTTTTCAAAGCCAGGTCTTTCAGCAATTAAGGGCCATTAACCCCATCTCTTACCTCCCAAAAAGCTTTGCTTGGCTTTTCTCCAAGTCACTTCACTTTGTGTAAACAGCGAGCAAATCACAGTACCCATTAAACTGTTGGCTTCATTTTGTATAAACCACATGGTAAAAACCCTTAGTGAACCAGAAAAGGCCCAATATCTTCCAGTTTTTCACATAGTTCGTAAATATAAAATGTATTCCCAGAACCCACAACAGGTGGGAATGGTTCACTGGTCCTAAGTTGGACAAATAAATGAATGATGCTGATCTATGTAGCTGCAGTTTCTTATGCTAGACAAAATGTTTGGCCAAAGCCAGCAGTAATCACTTTTAAAAAAACTATCCTCTATCCAAAGAGTTGTGTTAAGCTGGAGCCAGCGTCAGTCCACTTCAAGAAGCTCTTTCTTGTTTGAAGCGATTTTTCTCCTTCAGGAGCCTGTTTATGTACTTTGTTTCTGAGGGTCTTATGTTCTATTATCTTTTAATAAGGACAGATATTCCAGGTGATTCCTCCTATTTCCATTGCCTGATAAGTCATCTTGTGGTTTTATGCATGCTAGACCATCTTTCATGCAGACAATTGATTTATGTGCGCACCATGAACTTTCATTTTATCAGGCTTCAGAAATGTCTTACGTTAGAGCCTGTGCTAGGCACTAGTTCTCTTAGCAGAAATAATAGGCTTTCTCTGTTTTGTGTCTGTCAACCCAGAAGACTGCTGTGGAATACTTCTTAATAAAGGAGAAGGAGTGAGGGTGGATTCTTTGCAGAATATTCAGTGCATTTCTTAAGGTAAAATCACCCTATTTCAACAGATCCAGATGGCAGGTTGCTGGTCCTAAAGGACTTTAGTGAACCACTTGATCGTTTACAGCAATCCATCTGTTACTTTTCTGGAGCTTCACCACAAATTAAGACATTTATGCAATCCAACTTGTCCTACAGAAATGTGAATTCAGCACCTATACTAAATTGCTCCTTCATGAACCAAATGGGAGTATTTTAGCAAACACAGCAGCATAGGTTCAGCATCAGGTTTCTTGTTGCTAGGCTTTGCAGAGAATGCTGACTGGTTAGATTAAGAAGGGCGAGAAGGAGTAACCTTGTATGACAGAACCAGCAACAGGTGCCAATGGTAAGGAAGAGTGCTGACAGGGGAGCTCGAGCAATTGTGTGAGAACCTCCGCCAGCAGGTGGCAACAAGGGAGGGTAGCTGAGTAGTGGAACAGACTCTGTCTGGAAATTTGGGTGTCTGTGGGGGCAGGACGACTGATGAGAAGTCCAGAACACTTGATTATCTGACAATTGATGACTGGAATGAGGACACATGGCTGGTTATTGCATCCTGGGGCTTCAATGCAAGTGAGCAGGTGGGAAATCCCACTGGGAAATACTGGGAAGAAGTACAGATGTTCAAAGAAGTCTGCAGCAGATCTTTAAGGAACTGATAATGGTCACTAGGGACAGCAGTAGCCTGACACAACTACATTAGAGGTTTTATGACCACAAAGAAGTTGGGGTGGGGAATGGGATGATGTGGAGGAGTTGGTCTTTGTATCTGTGAAGCTGGTGAACTTGTTCAACTGCATAATCTTCCTGGATTCCTTCTAATTGACCGAGGCCAGGATACTGAAGGACCACCGACAGAAGCAGTAAGGGGTAGGAATGTACAGATAGAATTGAGGCTTGATAACGCCCAAGCTCAATTACCTTTCTCTGAAGTGCGAGATTATATCACCCACACTATGGTGATAGATTGGACTTTTCAGATCAGGAAAGAGATTGCCATCAGAGAAGTGACTGTCTGTATATACAGGGGTGTAGACCTCCAGCTAAAGAAGTAGGTGGACCATATTACAATACAGCATGCACAGATCCAGCCCTTGTGCCCTATCTCTGTTGTAAGCCTCTTTGCCAATCTCACCCAAGAGGTGCTGTAAAGACGTGTTGGAGTTGTGACAAGACAGTCTCATTTGAAATGCACAGTCTTCAACAACCATGGCCACTATTACTGATGGGCACAGATCCTATCCAGTGCAATACCTTCTCGCCAGGAGCTAAATTAGTTGGACCTCTCACTGGCGGCCAGATGGTGGCATGGGTCCTTCAGGAAGATGTTGAGACCTATGTGCATGGCCTTACAAAGTGTTTGAAATCTGGCAAGGTAGGAGCACTTTGCAGAATTGTAATAGGAGCAGAGTGGTCAGCCATTACTCATTGGTTTTACAAGGAGTATCAAGCTGAGGAGTCTGAGCTGATTCTCGTCCCTTTGCACCCGACCCTGTCCTTGTTTCATAGGGGTCAGTCATCCCCTATCATGGCTACATTGAGCTCTCTCTATCTGTCATCAGTCACTGTGCATCGCCTAGGATTTCTTGTAGTTTGAGAGCAATTGATACTCCACTGGAAGTGCGGATGTTTTGAAAATACCTGTGGTATTGGTTCAATGTATTAAGAGATATTCAGGCATCCTTAGAAAATGTCTATGATGACTGCACATTGCGAGGTTGGCATACAGGGCATGGTCATCATTGACCTTTCTCTGTGTTGTCAATGTGTATAAACCTGTACAGGACTTTATAACTGTTCAAGTAGCAGGGAATTGGGCTTTTTTTAACCCCCACCCCCCAATCATCACTGGTCTTGAAGGCTTATGTCAGCCATCTTCAGCTGATCAACATCAAGCCTTGCTAGAAATGCCATGTGTCACATGTAGCAGAGCTCCCACTTAATGTAACTGTGGGAGTTGACCTCATTGCTGAGGGATAAAGGGGAAGGTACCCTGGAACTTCACCAATTTCAGTAACTGGAGATAATAGTTTATCTCCAACCAAGAAAACCCAGAGGTGTCCTTAAACTTGCTGCTGTCATGTGCGGACTAGTTGGACCGAAGGGTCTGTTTCCATGATGTGTGACAGTGGACTGAATGAAGGAGACATTTCTGACTTCATTTCACAGATGGACATTAGTGAGTTGGAGGAGCCCCAGATGAGACAGCTTGATTCTATTCTAAACAAGTAGGGGGTAACTTTGAGTAAAGATGATGATGACGTTGGGTATTTCTAGCGAGCTAGAGGATTGTGAGTGAAGATGACTGTCCAGTAATGATTCCTTATCGCAGGATCCCAACCCATCACTGGGAAGAAGTCCAGGACTGCCTTTGGAGTGAGATGTCATTCAAAACTCAACAAGTCAGTCCACCTCCCCCACAGTCACCATGAGGAAGAAAGATGGAAAACTGAAGATCTATGTCAATTACCAGACGTTCAACACAAAAACTCATAACTTACCCTGTACCTCGGATGAGAAAGCATTACACATTCTCAAAGGTGCAAAGTATTTCTACAGTCTTAATTTGGCTCACAGTTATAAGCAGCTTCTCGCTAAACACAATTTTGAAAAGATGGCCATTTCCAACAGGCATCGGGGACTTTACCATACATAAGAATGCCATTTGAGCTCTGTAATGCCCCCACCACCTTCATCCGTGGATTGGATAAAGCTTTTGGCGACTTTATTTTCCGCTCCTTGAGTACCTGGTTGCTATTGGAAACGTGCAAAACTATACCAAATTGGCTCCTCCTTTCCATTATTTTCTGAAGAAATCAGAGAAAGCTGAAGGAAGCAAGAATGGATGTTTAAGAGTGATATTGACAAAACCTTGGGCACATCTGTTTATGGGTTTCATTTAATAGCCTTAATTTCTCACACAGTATTGTAAATACTTCCTTGTTTAACTTTAATTTTTCTTCCTGTTTGTAATGACCTGAGGCCAGTGGTATAAAGAATCCCTAGTTCGTGACCTTTAGGTTTTGCGCTAAACCTTTAGGTTTTGCGCTAAACCTTTATGCCCTTTGTGGCTATCAGTCGATAGCAGGGACATCAGCTGAATGTAGTGAAGAGCAGGGTCATGAAGATAACTGACTGATTATGTACGTGCATTAAGTGTGAATAAAGCACCGGGAGAGCTGAAAAAACCATTATTAGTTCAGTCATGTAGTATTCCTTGACTATAAGTTGCCATTGATCGCACTAACAATATCATTGGACAGTGCCCTTCCTTTCATCAACAGGATGGTTTACTTCTGGTTTAGAGTATAGGTGGGTGCTGACAGCCAGCAAAGAGCTGTGCAGCTGAAATATTTCTTTCTGAAAACATTGATAATGCATGTCTTTCTGCAATGAAGGTCCCTAAGAAGAGGGTCCCCGAGAAAAACAGCCCTCCAAAAGCAGGTTCTCCCCAGAACACGTTCTCCCCAGAGCAGGGTCTCCCCGAGAGCAGGGTCCCCCAAGAGCAATGTCCTCCAGAGGCAGGGTCTCCCCAGAGCAAGATCTCCCCAAGAGCAGGTTCTCCCCAGGAGCAAAGGCCCCTAAGACAGGATCTCCCTAGAAGCGGTGTCTCCCCAGGAGCAATATCCTCTCAGGGCAGGGTCTCCCCAGAGCAAGGGTCTCCCCAAGAGCAGGTTCTCCCTGGGAGCAATGTCCCTTTAGGGCAGTGTCTCCCTGGGAACAATGTCCCCCCAGGGCAGGGTTTCCTAGGAGCAGTGTCTCCCTGGGAGAAATGTCCCCATAGGCAGAGTCTCCCTAGGAGCAATGTCTCCCCGGAGGGATGTAACCCCAGTGGCAGGGTCTCCCCAGTAGCAGGGACCCCCAGGAGCAGCATCTCCTTGAGCAGGGTCTCGCTGGAGAGGTTCTCCCCAGGAGCAAGGTCCTCCCCAAGGACAGGGTCTCCCTAGGAGCAGGATCACCCCGGGAGTAATGTCCCCACCCGGGCCCAGATCTCCCTGGAGCAGAGTCTCTCCAGAGCAATCTCTCCCAGGATCAGGGTCTCCCTGATAGCAGTGTCTCCCAGGAGCAGAGTGTCCCTGAGCAGCGTCTGTGAAAAGCAGAATCCCCCAGAAATCTACTTATGGCTCCAGTGGCTATTCTCCTCTCCACCTGTATGGTATTGCCAGATGATTTGTTTCAAGATACAGTTGGATTCCAGCATGTTATTTTACTGGAAGTGTGAACTTTGTCCCTGATGTTCTTTAGTTTCTAATGGGATTTGAGATGGGCAGCAGAAGAAGTGATGTCCTGTGTTTGTGATTGATGAATATTGTGGGAGATGTGTATTGTCCTGCATTGTTCACTGTGAACTGCTGAAGATGTAAAATACAGGGACATCTAACTTCATGGATGTTTTCATGTGTATCCTAGTTCATAGAGTCCTGCAGTAAGGGAGTGAGTCTGATGGTGAGCAGCACTGAAGGATACTCGGTGTTACACTGCGCTGCAAAGAATGGCCATAAGGAACTTGTAAAGTACATCATTGAACATGGTGAGCTGTTGAACCAGCTTCATATGTTGCATCAACTGTATACAATGTTTAAGTTAGCACTGGGTATGACAAGAGCTGTCAATTACTTCAGGTGCCATTTCACTGCTACATACTGTTCATCATTTATTTGTCCTGTAGGAAGTAAATTATAAAAGATTCATTTGATATTTTCAACCTGAATTGTATGTCTTGTTAAGTGACAGCCTTAACTTAGCCAATCCTTCTCACCTCAATCAAGCAACCAGACTTTTGGAACAGAAGGATGGGAGGAGGCTAAAAATAGTCAGCCTAATTGAATGGGCTTGTATGTTTAATCTGTTAGGTTTTTGTTTACAGTAATCCAGTAGGTTAATTGGTGGTTCTTTGACACATTGGGATCAGATATGAGCCAAGATGGTGCAATTCCCCATCCCCACTTTGGCAGTCCATCCTCTTCACTCTGTCTGCACTGTCAATCCCTGTCGACTCTGTCCACACTCACTCCCTCATCCCACTGTCAATCCTGTTCACTCTGTCATAGAATCCCTACAGTGTGGAACCAGGTGATTCAGCCCTTCAAGTCCACTCTGATGAGCATCCCACCCAGACCCACCCCTCACCCTAACCCTGCATTTCGTCACCCTAGACACTTTGGGCAATTTAGCATGGCCAATCCACCTAACCTGCACATCTTTGGACTGTGGGAGGAAACCAGAGCAAACTCACACAGTCATGGGGAGAATGCACAAACTCCACACAGACAGTCACCCAAGGCTGGAATCGAACCCAGGCCCCTGGTGCTGTAAGGCAGCAGAGCTAAGCACTGTGCTACCAGTCCTATCCACACTGCCAATCCCTGTGCACTCTGTCAGTCCCTGTCTACACTGTGAATCCCAGTTCTCTCTGTCAATCCCTGTCCACACTGTCAGTCTGTGACCTGACTGATGTCAGTGGCACTCCTTGTCTGTACTTTAAGTCTCTGCCCACATTCATTCCCTGATCCCATTGTCAGTCACTTGCCATACTGTATCTGATCTCACTGTCACTCTCTGATCCCTCTGTCAGTCTGTCTCCACCCTGTCAGTCCCTGATCTCACTGTCAGTCCTGGCACTCGCTGTCAGTCCCGACTGTCATTGTCAGTCCCTGTCCACACTCACTCCTTGTCCAATCTGTCAGGCCCTAACCCCACTGCCAGTCTCTGACCATTTTGTCATTCCCTGTCCATACTGTCTGTCAGTCCCCCAGTAATCTTTATAACAGCCCCCAGCCATTCTCTATATACACTGTCACTCCCTGTCCACGCTCACTGCCATTCCACGCTCCATACTGTCAGCCCCTATCCATACTTTTAGTCTCTGCCCACTTTGTCACTCCCTGTCTTCTCTGCCACTCCCTGTCCACTCTTCAGTCACTGGTTCCACTGTTAGTCTCTGTTTTCATTGTTAGTCTATACTGGAGTGAAACTGTGAATAGGGCAATCTGTGTTTTCATTCACTATTCCAGAATATCTTGTAAAAACCGAAAGAACTGCAGATGAAGTAAATCAGGAACAAAAACAAAGTTGCTGGAAAAGCTCAGCAGGTCTTCCTTCACGGATGCTGCCAGACCTGCTGAGCTTTTCTAGCAACTTTGTTTTTGTTCCAGACTATCTTGTGTTCTACCAAGACTTTATGTATGTATCAATTTTGTGGTTTAGATTTTTTTCATTATTTGTTTCAGGGCCTCCTGATTTATTAGATGCAGCAGAAATCAAAACGTGAGTATGGGCATAATTGTTCTGTGCCTTACATATATATTTGCATATTGGATTTCTATCATTCCACTGGAGAAATGGCCTGGTAGCGCCAATGAATTGGGTTAGATGATACCAGCAGTTTGATGCTGTCTCTTCTGGAAGCTGGCTCCAGTTAAGGAATGTAAGTCTCTGATTTTTTATCCTGGTCTTGTCTGAGATGGTTTCAGCAGGTCTCAGTTTGGCTTCTGTTTCCCAGGGTGCACTGTGCATACTATAGGAGGCACTGAATTTCTTTGATGGTGTCAGGTAGTAGGCTGTTATCCATCTCTCCTGAGAATTATGTAGGGCGTGTGTCAGTATTTACAAGGAATCCACAGGGCATTTGTCAGTATTTACAGGGGCTCCACGGGGAGTGTGTAGTATTTATAAGAATCTCCGAGGAATTAATCTTTATTTATAGGGAATCGCCAGGGCTGTGTCAGTATTTACAAGGGATCCCCAGGGAGTGTGTCAGTATTTACAGTGGGTCCAGGGAATGTATTGGTATTTATGGAGAATCCCGGGAAGTGTACTGGTATTTACAGTGGTTCTCGGGAACTGTGTCAGTATTTACAGTGGCTCCCAGGGAGTGTGTCAGTATTTACAGTGGTTTCTGGGAGTGTGACTGATTTATACTGGTTCCTGGAGAGTGTGTCAGAATTTACAGTTGTTCCCAGGGCAGTGTGTTATTTACAGCGTTTCTCAGATTGATTAATTTATTGTCATGTGTACTGAAGTACAATGAAAAACTTTGTCACGAGCAGTACAGGCAGATCATAATAAGCAAGGACGTGCAGATTAAAAAGACTTAGACAGAGGCATACAGGTTACACTGCACAGGCCGTGCTCTAGGCGAGATCAATGTTAGGCAAATTCAGCATTATTTGAGGATAGAGAGTCCATTCATCAGTCTAATAACGTCTGGGAAGAAGCTGTTCCTGAAACTGCTTATGCATGTGTTCAGGCGTGTATATCTTCTGCCTGACAGAAGAAGTTGTAGGAGATCATTACTGGGGTATGATGGGTTTTTGATGATGTCGGCAGCCTTTCCGCAGCAGCGAGCCATGTTAATGGAGTCCATGAATGGAAGGTTGGCTTCCATGATGGTTTGAGCTGTGCACACCACCTTCTGTAGTTTCTTATGGTCCTGGGCAGAGCAGTTGCTGTACAGGGCCATTATGCACCCGGACAGTATGCTTATCATTATGCAACTATAGAAGTTGGTGAGGGTCCTTAAGGACATGCCAAATTTCCTGAGCCGCCTGAGGAAGAAAAGGCATTGTTGTGCCTTCTTGATCATTGCATCTACGTGGGAAGTCCAGGACAGGTTGTTGGTTATCATCACTCCAAGGAACTTGATGTTTTCCACTCTCTCAACCTCAGTTCCGTTGATGTAGATGGGGGCGTGTTCTCCTTCCTTTCTGAAGTCAATGATCAGTTCTTTAGTTTTGCCGACATTGAGAGAGAGGTTGTTCACAGTGTACCAAGTCACCATGCCTTCTATCTCCCTTCTGTATTTTGACTCATCATTGTTAGTTATCTGTCCTACTATAATGGTGGGATCAGTGAACTTGTAGATGACATTCATTTGGAATTTGGCAACACAGTTGGGTGTACAGGGAGTACAGTAGGGAGCTGAGGACACATCCCTGGGGGACTCCAGTGTTGGGTGTTATTGTGGAGGAGGTGCAGTTACCTATCTTAAATAATTGAGGTCTGTGGGTCAGAAAGCTGAGGATCCAGTTGCAGAGGGCAGAGCCAAAACAAAAGTCACGTAGTTTTGAGATCAGTTTGGAAGGGATAATGGTGTTGAAGGCAGACCTGTAGTCAATGAGCAGGAGTCTGACATAGGTGTCCTTGTTGTCCAAATGTTCCAGGGGTGAGTACAGGGCTGGGGAAATGGCATCCACTATGGACCTGTTACGTCAGTAGGCAAATTGTAGGGGATCGTGACGGGCCGGGAGACTGCAGTTGATGTGGGCCATGACAGAGGGAATCTGTTAGTGATTATAATGGATTCCTAGGGAGTCAGTTTTACAGTGGTTCCTGGGGAGTGTTTCAGGTTTCCAGTGGTTCCTGGGGTAGTAACCAGATTTAGAAGTAGTACAGAGCATTTGTAGGCAGATTATGGAAATCTGCAAGACAAGTAGGGCTGTGAAAGTTGATGATTTCAGTTACCCTAGGGTAGACTGGGAAAAGAGTTAGATTATAGGGCACGGACAGAGAGAAATTCCTGCAATGTGTGCAGAAGGACTTTCTGAAACAGTACATTTCTGGTCCTACTAAAGAGGGAGCTGTGCTGGAACTGGTCCTAGGAAGTGAGGCAGGCCAAATGGAGAACATCAGAGTCGGGGGAGCATTTGGGAAATAGTGATCATAATGCAATAAGGTTCAATGTTAAGTTAGAAAAAGAAATTTTAAAAAGTCAGTTAGCAATAAGATCCCAGACTGGAAAAGGGCAGATTTTAGGGTTCTAAAAGTTGAACTGGAGCAGGTTGATTGGAAACGCATTTTGGTGATAAAACAGTGGATGAAAATGGGAGAATTTCAAAAGAAAGATTATTAGGGTACAAGCTAGGTACATAGCCATGAGAAATAAACACAGGGTATACAAAAGGAGGCATATAATGCATCATATAATAATAATAGCAATAGAAAAGATTATCTCAAATGCAGGAGAGAGGTTAAGGCTTGAATAAGGAAGGCTAAGAGGAAGTATGAGGAAAGGATGGCAGGCTACACAAAAGCAAAAAAAAAAGTTCTTCAAATATATTAATAGTAAAAGATCAGTGAAGGATAGAGTGGGTCCATTAAGGAACAAGCAGGGTAAGCTGCTCACTGAAGCAAAGGATATGGCAGATGTACTGAATGAATATTTTGCTTCTCCCATTACCAAATTAGATGATTTTCTTAATTTGATTTATTATTGTCACATGTGCCTAGGTACAATGAAAAGCTTTGTTTTTCATGTTGTACAGATCATACCATATGAAGTTCAGAGCGTGATAGAACAGAGCAAAGAATACAGTGTTACCGCTACAGAGAAGGTGCACAAAAAGCAAGATCAGCATTAGATTTGAGATTTGAGAGGTCCATTCAGAAGTCTGTATTGAAGGGCAAAATGTGTTGGTGTAGGCTTGGAGGGCTGAAGGGCCTGTTCCTGTGCTGTATTGTTCTTTGTTCTTGTGTTTTAAAGATTTTGTATTTTTTACCTGATGAAAGAGGCTGGAAGAGATTATAACCCGGTGGTGACAATGGCCTAGTTGAAAATGTGGGTGTTGAGCAACTAAGCCGTTTAGTGATAGGTAAAGAAGGGGTGCTAAAAAGGCTGGCAGCACTCCAGGTAGAGAAGTCACCAGGCCCGAATGGCATGCTGAGAGAGGTAAGAGAGCAAATTGTGGAACCGTTGCCAGAAATTTTACAGGCCTCTCTCAACACAGGATTAGTCCCAGGGGACTGGAGGATTGTAAATGTGACACCGCTGTTTAAGAAAGGGATAAAAGATAACCTCAGAAACTATAAACCTTTTAGCTTGACATCAATAATGGGAAAACTGATAGAGGCCATAGTACAGGATAAGGTAAATATACAACGAGGGAAAAGTCAGTTAAGTAAGTCTAGACAGTCAACATGGTTTTGTCAAGAGCAGGCCAGGTATGACAAATTTAATGGAGTTCTTTGATGAGGCGGCACAAACACTAGTTGAGGGTAGTGCTGTGGATGTTGTATATTTGGACTTCCAGAAAGCATTTGATACAGTGCCAAATAGCAGATTGGTTAGCAAATTAAGAATGTTTGCAATTGATGGGTCTGTGGCTGCATGGATTAGAAGTTGGCTAAGAGATAGGAAACAGAGAGTAAGTATAGATGGCCATTTCTCAGACTGGAGACAAGTTGAAAGTGGTGTTCCCCAGGGATCGGTGTTGGGAATGTTACCTTTTCTGATTTATATAAACAATTTGGAGATAAGTGTTGAGGGCAAAATCTCTAAGTTTGCAGATGATACTGAGCTGGGCAGAATAGTGACTTATGGGCATGGTGCTGAGTGACTTCAGAGGGACATTGACAGCTTGGCCAAATGGGCAGACGCCTGGCAGATTAAGACCAGGAAGAACTGTGTATGTTGGAAATCAGAAACAAAAACAGAAATTGCTGGAAAACTTAGCAGATCTGGCAGCATCTGTGGAGAGAAAACAGAATTAACGTTTCGGGTCCAGTGACACTTCTTCAGAACTGATGGTAGTTAGGAAAAGGTTGGTATTTATGCAGAAGATGGAGTGGGAGGAAGAGTAAACGATTTGTACAAGTGGAGCCCAAAGATTGAGAAAAACAGTTGGACAGACAAAGGAGTAAGTAAAAGTCAGTCTGGGAGAATGAATAACTGCTAATGGGGACCATTAGTAACTGACAATGGGCTGTGTATGATAGCAGCTCATGTGATGTTCTGAGGAAGGGTCACCGGACCTGAAACGTTAACTCTGTTTTCTCCTTCACAGATGCTGCCAGGCCTGCTGAGCTTTTGCAGCAACTTTGTTTTTGTGCATGTGATGACAAGGTCTGATTTGTCAGGGGTTGGGGTATGGACATAGGGGAAGGTGTTCAAGCCTGAAAATTGTTGAACTCGATATTGAGTTCAGAAGGCTGCAGAGTTCCCAAATCTAAGATGAGGTGCTGTTCTTCTAGCTTGCACATTTCGGTTTTACAAGATCAATAGTAGAACTTTGAAGGGAGTACAGGAGCAGAGGGACCATGGGATTCATGTGCATGATTCTCTGAAGGTGGTCAGGCAAGTTGAAACAATTGTTAAGAAGGCTATGGGATCCTTAGGTATATAAATAGAGAGAGATAGTATAAAATCAAGGAAGTGATGCTACACCTCTACAAATCATTAGTCAGATAACATTTGGAGTATTGTGTTCAGTTCTGGGCACCTTATTTAAGGAATCCCCAAAGAAAGTTCAGAGGAGATTTACCAGAATGATACCAGGAATGGGGGAATTTTGTATATAAGGAAAGATTAGAGAAATTGGGCTGACTGTCCTTGGAGCAGAGAAGATTAAGAGGTGGCCATGTTGAGATGTTCAAAATGATGAACAATTTTGACAGGGTAAAGAAGGATATTTTGTTTCCACTGGTTGGTATGTCAGTAACTAGGGGACACAATTTCAAAATTGTTAGCAAAAGAGCTAGGAGTGAGATTAGGAGAAACTTCTTTACTCAGAGAATTGTTTGGATTTGGAATACGCTGCCTGGGAGAGTGGTGGAAGAGGATTTCATGGGATGTTTCAGAAGAGAGATGGATATATGTTTGAAAGGGATGTATTTAGAGGGCTACAGACATAGGGCTGGGAAGTGGGATTAGCTGGGTATGTCCTTCGGGACAGGTACAGACATGATGGGCCTAATGGCCTTTTGAACTGTAAAATTCTATGATTGTATGATTTACAATGACTCCTGGGGATTATGTTGTTATTTACAGTGGTTTGCAGGAAGTATATAAGATTTACAATGGTTCTTAGGGAATGTGTCAGTATTTACAGTGGATTCCCACAGAGTGTGTCAATATATACAGGTGGTTTCTGGGAAGAATGTCAGATTTACAGTGGTTTCAGGGGAGTGTGTCACATTTCCAGTGGTTCCTGGGGAATATGTCAATTTTAAAAGTGTCCTGGGGCGTGACTTAGTATTTACAGTGTTTCCCAGGGACTGAGTCAGATTTGCAGTGGTTCCCAGGAAATATGTAAGATTTATAGTGGTTCGTGGGGAGTGTGTCAGATTTACAGTTTTTCTGCAGGGTGTGTGTCATAACTTACAGTGATTCCCAGAGTGTGTCAGATTTGCAGTGGTTCCCAGGGAATATGTCAGATTTACAATGTGTTCCCATACACAGGACGAGGTTTTTAAATGAAAACTGTTGCATTCCCGAATACAAGCCTCCCTCTGTTTGAAGTGGTCATTATTCTCCCACACCTTAGCCTCAGATTGATAGACACTATGTGAAAGGGAGTCTGTGTTCAGACTTTAATTAATGGATTGTAATCTTATTTCCTTAATAGGGGCGAGACAGCACTACACAAAGCAGCATTCCATCGGTATCACACAATCTGTCGTTTTTTAATTGATGCCGGGGCCTCATTGATGCAGACTGATTTCAAGGTAAGGACTTGCCCTATAGGTGGGTGAATTATTGGGAACAACAACACTTTATTCGACCAACAAGCCATGTCCTTTTTCATAAGCTATAAGCCCCACTCCTCAACCCATTCTCCTGCCAGAAACTCTGCCCAATTATGATACTGTTTACATCACCAGTCCCTCTTAATAAAGTGCCGCATTTCTCTTTTAGGTGCAAAGGAGTCCTTTTGACTCCTTTTTCTTTCCTCTTAATCTTTAACTCATATCCCTTGGTATATGCTTCCCTGACTCACCTCAGCCTGGCGAAGAGCAGCTTTGCAATCAATTTTGTCCACTCTCACCTGAACTGTAAAATTTTCTATGTTATCTCCTCAAAAGCCACCCAATTCCCTTACTATCTCCTCATCACTTAGGTATACCCTCTGCACTCTACAATCCAGCCCAATACAATTGTGAAGACAGGCTGTAAATAATCCCTGAAGTAATAATACTCCCATTTTGCTCTGTTTAGCTTTCATTGAGCCAGTTACTTCTTTTTGCTGTTGTCTATGTGGAGAGTTTTCACAGGTTGCACGCCGTTGCTTTTAATCTTCATCAGTACACTCATAGATCTTAAGTTTTGTTGGGCTATTCAATTTTTCTATTTCTGAAATATTCTGTGCAGCCATTTGGTTCACATCTACACCCAGTGCTCACTACCAACAGAGACCCACACATCTGACATTGACAACATCTGTATGTACAGCATATGGCAGTGTACAGATTGATGCATGTTTGTACTAACACCTCGCACATGTACACAGATACACACACACATGTATTCACGTTAATCAATTGGTATGGTAGTGTGGTAGGTACATGAATGAATTAATAAATTAGCAGGCCTGGATTTAATAATGAGAGTTTAGATCTCAGCATGGCAAGAGAATTTCAGTGAAAGTATTTTGAAATAAAAAAACTGGCATCAGAAGTGATCACAAAGCTGTCTGATTGTTGTAACCCTACTTGTGACTCTGGTACTACCCCAATATCATTGACTGTTAGTTTCTTCTGAAGTCCCACACTTCCACAGAAATGAGCAATAAGTAATGCCACACCTCTCCCACTGTAACACTGTAAAGTATTAAAATACACGCTCATACATCCATCAGTATACTCAAATACATAAATGCTGCCTCTCCTCCCCAGGATTTGGTTTACTTCTGAATGTGTTTTGTCTGTGGTCACTCTACTCCTAACTATGGTTCCTCACCAGGGCAACACTCCGAGACACAAAGCACAGGAGGCTGGTGATCTGGAGCTAGCCGCCTACCTGGAGAACCGGCAGCACTACCAGATGATGGCACGCGAGGACCTGGAGACAGCAGTCTGAAAACAAGGATGTTGGCGAAACTGGATGGTGGGGAGGTATTAGCTGTTCGCCTTCTCCCATTGAATTCAGTCACTGCTTCCCTTTGTACCCTACTGCTTGATGGATGAAAAAGAAAGTGACGTAATATTAGGGAAAGATGGTGGCAAGAGATGCTAGTTACTGAGACGGCAGTAAAAGAGCATATTACTCATCGTACAGTCCACATTAGGAGCTGAGGCAGCTGCACACAGAGGAGGAGGAGGAGAAGGGGCGCTGCATCAATGGCCCCTTGGAACCCTGTCCAAACTGCAGACTACAGTGTTCTCCACTTCGGAACAAGGAGAGCAATCATTCCACAAAACTCCTTCTTATACAACAACTGGCACCTTTCACAATCTGGGTTTTCCCCTGGATTCATCTCGATCTCCAATTCAATCAGAAGAGGTCTGTATGGCAATGCCTGATGATACTGTGTTCACTCACCTTCAGAATGTAACAACTGCACTGGGTGTTCAAGAGGAACATGTAGTCAACATTGGACTATCTCACCAAGGCTCCTTCAATAGCACCTTCCAAACCCACGACCTCTACCATCTCGAAGAACAAGAGCATCAGATATGTGGGAGCACCATCAGTTGCATGTTCCCCTCCAAGCCACTCACCATCCTGATTTGGAAATATATCACTGTTCCTTCAGTGTCATTGGATCAAAATCTTGGAATTCCCTCCCTAACAGCATTATGGATGTCCCTCAACCAAATGGATGCAGTAGTTCAAGAAAGCAGCTCCCCACCACCTTCTTAAGAGCAATTAGGGATGGGCAATACATGCTGGCCCAGCTAGCAAAATCTACATCCCAGGAATGAATAAAAATTAACAAAAAAAGAACTTGAAGAACTTATATTTGGGGTACTAATAGACAACTTGGAGACCTCACTTCACATAATGTAAATGTCAGTGGCATGTATTATCTTGGATACTTGGATATAATACAATATACTTTGAAGAGCATTCAACAAATGAGGAACTGGTGCTCCATGTTGAATTATTGGTTTGAACCAAAGTGAGTACAGTCCTTGTGCTCTTAGCAGAAGCCTGAAGGGCTAGACTTGATGTAGAAACCTATGGTTGTGAATTGTTTTCAGTGCAGGAACAAGAGATTGTTTCTCCACAGAGAATTCCAGTCAGAACCATACTATGTCATCCCTGAACAGATACACACATTGAACAGTATTTTCTGCTATGAGTTATTCTATCTCTTGTAGCCACTTTCTCACGTGCAGTTGAACAGGGTTTCAGTGTGATCACCAAGTCACATACTTGTCATTAAAGGGATCTTGCTATCCTTTCTGAATGCAGACAGCTAGTTAAATTTCCTTGACATTGTTGGCAATTTAGTTCTCAAGGCACTGAAGATAAAATATCATTTAGAGTCATACAGCACTCAGTCCAGGCCTTTCGACCCAACCAGTCCATGCCGACCACATTTCCTAAACTGAACTTGTCCCATTTGCCTGAAGTTGGCCCATATCCCTCTAAACCCTTCCTGTCCATGTACCTGTCCAATTGTACCCGCCTGTACCACTTCCTCTGGCAGCTCATTCCACATACACACTGCCCAATTTGTGAAAAGTTTGCCCCTCAGACCCCTTTTAAATCTTTCCCCTCTCATGCTACAATGAAGTTAAAATTGTGGTGATATGATATGGGTGGTAAACAAAGAGAGAGGTATTTGTACCTGGTGGTGTTGCTGCTGCAGTCAAGCCCTGGGACAGTGTGAACTGGGAGATGACAAGCTCCTATCCAGTGACCAATGGCCTAATGGCAGTGCAACAATGTTTGTGGTTGTCAGTGGCAACTCCATCCATTCTAATCAAGCTGCCTCAATGCCTGTCTCAAAGAAACACTAGGAAATGTTTCTATTGTCCTGGGCTTTAATTTGGTTTTCACTAGGAAGTTCTGCAGTGAAAGATTGGTGAATGGTTAAAATCATCTGGCAGACTTCGTCATCTATCTCCTGCACTTTAAATATACTATCAGGACAGGAGCCTGAACCAAAACTTTCCAAGCAACTCAGATGCTTAGTTGTGAGATTTGGAAGGCGTATTTAGGCTTTTCCTGCACCCACTCTCCTGCCTCCCCTTTACAAAGGGACCTTGCTAAGATCATCTCCCTGTGTCTTGCTCAAGTGCCAGGCGCTGTTCCTTCGATCCCATTCTACCTGCCAATACCCATCGGACCAGTGCAGGTGAGGACATAGGAACATGAGCCTGCTAGTTTCTCTTGTGAGGCATTGGGAAATAACTGAGTTATAGTTGCTAGGCAACAGCCAATGAAGCCAATAAGGAGAGCTTTCAGGATCCATCAGTGGATATAATTCCTGAGGCTGAGAACTGATCTCACCAGCAGATCTCTCACATAAGTGACCCCCAGTCCCTATTAGTACAGGAGATTAGTGAGGATATAATTGCCCATAGTGTGCCCTCGGCATTATGGGTGATGCCTTTGGAATAAACATCCACAGGAAGCAGCCACCCATAAGACTAAGTGATGATGGCCTTCCTCTTTCCCTATCATTTGCCTTTGTTAGACCAGCCAGTAGAACTCCTCTTGCTTCCTGCAGAGATCTGTGTCATCTTATTCTTTCTAAGCAAGCTTCTGACTGCTAGGCTCAAACCGTTTATGTTGCTGTATGTACTAGATCATCAGCATGATACTAACTGCAACCTTTGCTGACCCCATCTCCCTATCTTCTCAATTCCTTTGCAGGCAGATGTCACAGGTCAGGGTAACAACGGAGATTCCAGACTAGAAATGAGGTCTCTCAGTGAACAGTGGAGCAGACCATGAGCTGAATGGCCTACTTCTGTTCCTACGACTTGTGTCTTATGGTCTAATTGCCCTCCAAAGAAGCGAGCACAATACCTTTCAAGAAGTGCAGGACTGGCTGTGTGTTCCTTGCGTAAGCTAACTTACAATTAAGTGGCTACAGATACTCTGGGATCCTCACACAAGCCCCAAACTAGTCTGAAGGTCTCGAAACACAATCAAAAGAGCACCAGACACCAGGAGTAGAGTTTTCAGTCATCCACGTGGGTTCATGTTGCGGGGTGGGCAGACCTCTGGTAAACCAAGCATGCAACAGGCACTACTAGTCTCTGCTTACACACTGATGCGTTTAGAGTTTCTAAGAGAACACAGGCTTACAGGAGCTGGCTAAGTGTGCAAAGTTCAAATGAATTGCTGGATGAGCTTGTAATTGAGCTGTTCTGAAATACAGAGAACAGACAAGAATCTTAAAAACGCCAGCATAGGGTAGGGACACAGAGAATCTGGCCACGTTTTTAAATGACTGTCAAAAAAAGTGTGAAGCAGTAAGTGGCCTAGCCATCTTGAGGGTTACCTTTGATGGACTAGCTATATAAATAGTATGCTTAAAAGAGCCATCAGAGGCTAGGAATCCTGCAGCGAATAGCTGACCTGACTCCACAAAGCCTGTCCACCATCTACAAATCACAAGTCAAGAGTGTGATGGAATAATCCTCACTTGCATGGATGAGTGCAGCTCCAACAACACTCAAGACAGCATCCAGGACAAAACAGCCTGCTTCTTGGCACCACATCCACATTCACTTTCTCTACCACCAACACTCAGTAGCTGCAATGTGTACCATCTATAACATGCACTGTACAAATGATTGTGTTTTGACAAAGGGTCACTGGATTCCATAGTTAAGTCTGCTTCTATTTCTACAGATGCTGCCAGACCTGCTGAGTTTCTCCAGCACTCTTTGCTTGGGCAGTGTGTGCGGTATCAGTTGTGATTAGTAGAGATTGGTGCCTTTGATTGAATTGACCACTGCGCGTGTGAGATTTGTGCTTTCAATTGATAGAAAATAGCATTTGGAAATGTATTCACTGATCTTGACCACTTGGTCATTAACCATTAACTCAAGGTTGATGTGTTGCAATTGACTGTGATGGCTGTCTAGTCCCATTGACTTGTCAGAGTTCATCTAAAGATCTTCCCGTCTACTTGCCGTAATTGAGATATTTGTGGCATACTCTCCACTCGAGGTTGCGCCATTAGCCAGTTCTCGTAAATGTTAGACTGATAGATTTTTGTTATTGCAGAGAAATATTAAGGGCTATGGAGAAAAGCCAAGTGTTTGGAGTTGTCACACAGATCAGTCATGGTCTCCTTGAACAACACAGTAGGCGCAAGGGACTAGATGGCCACTTCTTTTTCTTTGTTCCATTGTTCTTCCTGCTCTATATGTCTTCCCAAGTCACCACCAGCCCCTGCTGCAAGTCAGACTCCACCTCGGCTTTAAGAAGTACAGGCTAGCATTCCAGAACGCGGGCTGGCTTTTAATGGTGCTGACCTTGCACAACTTCGGCACCCTCTACTGAGCTGTGCAGCCATTCACTGCATGTTAAGCACTGGGCTTCAAGCTTCTCTCATTTGAATGAGCCTGCAAGCACAGAGTTTGTGTGCTGCCTGCATCCTGAGGAGTAGGCCCAGGTTAATTGTGCTTCATAAAGCCATGCCAGCTTTCAGATGCTGTTGAGTTTGTCCCCAGCCTGTTATAACAGTTTTGCACTAAAAAGGAATAAATCAAATAATCAACATGATTCTGATAAGGCCAAGTGTGATTTAGGCCTGTTAAAAAGTGTTGCCAGAGGTGATTGAATCTTAACCTGAGCTTGTCCTTAAATGAATTTTCACAATTGCATGTCTGTCTGAGGTGGAAGACCATCTTGCCAAAACTTGTTTGTAGGTGAGGTTCTGTGAACTGACTAATTTTTTTTCTTGTGGAAACTGAAGAAATCTATTCTTTGTATTGAGGAGATCAAAGAAATTGGAAGAACTTGTGTAAAATGGTTGCATTTTAATGAAATTAATGTGCAAGATTTCCCAATCCTTGTCTTACAGAGCAGTTTCCAAAGTTTTAGATCTGCTGAAAGGACATTCTACATACCTGTAAGGATCAACACTGGTCTGCCACAGATGAGAATGC